ACCACGTGACCTTAGAGAGTTCCTCAATGAGCTTGCCACCTTAATAAACTCATTTCCTGACGATGGCTCACCGCTCTTCGTACTTGGCGACTTCAACCTCCCGATGTCTGCCTTCAATAATTTATTTCCAACTCTCTCTTTTCCCCTCCTTGCCTCGTTTGACCTCACACTTTCCCAGTCCCCTCCCATTCACAAGGCAGGCAATACGCTTGATCTAATCTTTACGCCTACTAATCTCACTGCAACTGAGTAACTCACTGCGAGCTAACATAACAGGGCTGTGGGCAGATGAGCGAAAATGGAGGAAAACTAAACTTCCGGAGGAACTATCATCCTTACACTCCCTCTCTCTACCTCTGTATCCGCTGCTAAAGCCACTTTCTATTAATCAGACTTTCAAGCTTCTGCCTCTAACCCTATGAAACTATTTTCCACCTTCTCCTCCCTCCTTAATCCTACACCCCTCCCCCTCCCTCCTCCCTCTCTGCTGATGACTTTGTCAACCAACTTTGAAAATAAAGGTGACGACATCTGCTCCTCATTCACTCAGCCTTATTGAGCTACTGGTCCCACTCCACACAGAAACTACCCTACGCCTTTACCTCTTTCTCCCCCTCTCTTCCAGATGAAATCCTGTGACTAGCGAGCGTCCGGATGCCCGACAACCTGCCTGCTCGACTCCATCCTCTCCTCCCTTCTCCAGACCCTCTCTGGAGACCTTCTCCATTCCTCACTTCCCTCATCCCTCACCACTGGCTGCGTCCCCTCTGACTTCAAAATGGTCCGAGTCACTCCCTTCTTCAAGAAACCAACACACGACTCCTCTGACATCAAAAACTGTAGACTGTATCCCTTCTTTCTTTTCTTTCTAAAACCACTTGAGCATGCTGTCTCAGACCAACTCTCTCGCTATCTCTCTTAGAACGATCTTCTTGACCCTAACCAGTCAGGTTTCAAACGGGTCACTCAACCGAGATGTTCTTCTCTGTGTCACGGAGGCTCTCCACACTAAAAATGCTCAATCTCTGTCCTCTGTTCTCATCCTCCTAGATCTATCCGCTGCCTTTGACACCTTGAACCATCAGATCCTCCTTTCCACCCCTCTCAGGGCTGGCCGTCTCAGGCTCTGCACACTCTTGGATTGCATCCTACCTGGCAAGGCCCGCTCCTACCAGGTGACGTGGAGAGGATCTGTGTCTGCACCATGTACTCTCACAACTGGTGTCCCCCAGGGATCGGTTCTAGGCCCTCTCCTCTTCTCTTTATACACCAAGTCACTCGGCTCTGTCATATCCTTACATGGTCTCTCCTATCATTGCTATGCGGATTGAAACTCAACTACTTTTCTCCTTCCCTCCTTCTGACACCCAGGCCGCGACATGCATCTCTGCGTGCCTGGCAGATATCTCAGCTTGGATGTTGGCCCACCACCTCAAGCTCAACCTCAACAAGACAGAGCTGCTCTTCCTCCTTGGAAAGGCCTGTCCACTCAAAGACCTCTCTATCGTGGTTGACAACTCCACGGCGTCCCCTCCCTCCAGAATGCAAAGAACCTTGGCTTGGACCCGGGACAATACCCTGTCGTTCTCTGCAAACATCAAAGCAGTGACTTGCTCCTGCAGGTTCATGCTCTACAACATCTGTAGAGTACAACCTTACCTCACACAGAAAGCATCACAGGTCCTAATCCAGGCACTTGTCATCTTCCTCCTGGACTACTGCAACTCTCAGTTGACTGGGGGTCCCTGCTAGTGCCATCAAAAACCCCCGCAAAAATATCCAGAACGCTGCAGCCCGCCTGGTGTTCAACCTTCCCAAGTTCTACCCATGTCACCTCGCTTCTCCGCACACTTAATGATTCCAGTCGAAGCTCACATCCATACAAGACCATGGTGTTGCCATGAGCGCAGAGGAACGCCCCCCCTAATTCGGAGCTCAAACCCAAGCCCAACCCAACACCGTTTGCCACCTTGCCCCTCCCACCTTTTCGGCAAAAGCAGTTCCAGGCCCTCAAACC